AAGTTGTACAATGAGGTTATTATAAAGTACGTATGATGCATTCTCATGGACGACGAAATGTACGTGAAGATGGATTATGGGCAGCTTCCCGGACAAAAGTTCTATAAAACCACTGGTCGAGGTGATGTCCCTAGCAAGTTCAAATTCGTTTTTGCCAATAAATTTACAAGAAAGTTTATGATCTGGCAAGGTATTTGCAGCTGCGGACAAAAAAGCTAGGTTTTCGTGACTATGGATTCCAAAATGTACAAGCAGGAGTGCCTGAAAAAAACGCATTCTTCCGTACATTAAGGCTCACAATGGACCTGTAAAGTTTTGGCCTGATTTGGCAAGCTGCCACTACAGCGGAGAAGTTTTACAATGCTATCGAGACAACGGGGTAGATTTCTTCGAAAAGGACATCAATCACCCTAACTGCCCTCAATTTCGCCCAATCGAGAAATATTGGGCAATGGTCAAACAGAAGTTGAAGAAAAGTGGAAAGGTGGCTCGGTATGCGACAGATATGAAGAAAAGGTCACTCAGGTTAGCCAACAGAGTGTCCAAAATATGATTTATTTATTTATTAATTTATTTAATAATTCATCTGACAAATTTTGCTTAATGAATAAACTATTCGTTATCTTAAATAAGGTTCAGTCTTCTTACTCTAGCCAGAAATTGAGGTTTGATCAGGGATTGCTGACGTAACATCCTACCTGAAACACGGAAATCAAGCAGTGACAGAAGATGAGAGTAATCGACGTCACCGTTGAGTAATTTAGCTATAAACGTAGCCTGTTGTAGCTTACGTCTTCGATCAAGCATTTCGAGGTCAAGCAGACGGCATCTATCGGGATACGCTGGAAGGTTTAAAGAACCACGCCAGTGTAGGTTTGTGGGCGCAAGCCGTATGAATCTGATTTTGCACACGCTCGATTCTTTGGTTCCATGTTACGTCGTTTGGACCCATACAACTGAAGCATTTTCTAGGATCGGCCTTACGAGTGAACAATGCAATGCTTTTAGACAGTGTGGATCCGTGAAGTCCTTGGCAATGTTAGAGTTGAAGCCAAGTTGACAATTAGCCTTGGAAATAATCGACGCATAATGGGAATAAAAGGAAAGCATCAAGTGCAATACGACACCAAGATCCGTCACTTGATCCACTCTGCTAAGAAAAGTATCATCGATGTGGTATTCATAAATTATCGGGTCTTTGAACCGATAGAAAGTCATCACATAATATTTCGCGACGCTGATGACAAGCTCGTTCGAGCGGCACCAGTGAAGCAACCTTTGCAGTAGAAAGCATTCCTCGATGCAGCGTACCACCACATAGATTTTTAGATCATCAGCATATACGAGCTTGCACTTGTGGACAAGAAAAGATGCAGCGTCATTGAGAAATAACAGCCATTAATGCAACAGTACAAGCCAAACGCACAGCTTTTGCCTAACCCGTGTGTACTGTCTGAAGTTACTGTACTGTTCCTTGGTGCGATCCATTCTGAAATACTGTTCAGTGGTCTGCAGTCCAAACAACAACAATGGTGCTGAGAGTGTTGAGTCCGTTCAACGCCGTTTTCTTGGGTTCGCTCTGCGGAAGCTGCCTCTGGGAGACCCATTTCATCTGCCCAGCTATGAAAGTCGTTGCCAGCTGATTTATCTGGAAGCTCTCTGAACTAGAAGAGATACCTCTAGGGCCCTGTTCATCGCGGACACTTTACAAGGTAGAATTGATTTAGTATTTATGTATTTTATTCTTATTTTTATCCTTTGACCTACCTATAAATATAAGTTACTTAAATCATCATTGAGGCTATACTCAGCCTGTTGATGCATACAAATAAATAAATAAATTCTTACGACTCGATCTGTACATACAACAAGAGCGTCTGCTCTCCATGAGAACCAGCTGATTATCGTCCTCATGCCAGCGTAGGACTCTAAACCGGGGTATTCTGTAGCATTCAGTTTGGCTCCAACATGTCTTCGATTTTGACGTGCTGGTACCTATGGGATTTGAAGTTTTGGTACAGAGGCATATTCAGATTCAATGGCAAAATTAATAGGTTGCTTCGATATTCCACCAAGATGAGTGCTTCAATTAGAGAGGGTCTAGTATAAGAGAGGAGCGGATTCAAAACAAACTGCCTTGACTACCTATGCCTAGGTGAATTCTAGCAACACTGTCGATGCAATCAAGATAGGCGCTACTCGATTGACTCTGGCTTTGACAGTTCGTTTGGCTCAAAACCAGCCAGTCCGCTCCTCTCTTATAGTAAACCCTCTCTAGCTTCAATGTACCTCAGTAATAGCCCCATGCTCTTAACAGAACTGTGCATGATGGTCCCTTTATGAGCCTTTCCATGTTCTATATGCGTACAATATTCTCTACATAAAGTACCTACATTCAAACCTACTCTACAAGCATCTGGAAAATCATACGATACAACTGTAATTGCAGATGTAACAAGGTCGACAAAAAAAGAAAAACTTTGATTCAATTTACAACTCACTGCGCTGCGAGTGAGAATTGCACTTCGTGTCGTTCATTCCTGACTACGACCATCTGTCACAAAGTTGTCTAACATGCTCCAATAATGATGTACTTACACATATCATATTTATGCAATGATGCTCTTACATCAGAGTCACATCGTGATGGCACAGCTTGGATGAGTGTTTTGCTACCATTTGCGATGATGTAGTAGATAGCAAAAATATAACGATGATGATGACAGAATGGTAAAACACTGCCGATGATTTTATGATGACATGCATAATTGTTAACTGTATGTAACTGGAAAGTATGAATTTTCGAGAAGCGCAAAGACTAAACTCAAATGGAAGTGGTTACACTTGAGGAACATTGAAAATAATGATAGAAGCTCGAAAATAAGATGAATCCAACCCTCAAAGCAGGCTTGGCACGGTTGTTCTTAAAATAATAGCATTACTCTGTTTTGAAGATTTCTGACAAACTTTGCAACTTCACTCAAACATGAAAAGTACTCCACGTTGGCACGGTGGCAATCTAATTATTCAAATTTTGGTCCGCTCATCCTTTGATGCTAAAGCAAAAGCAGAGCACGGTAATCATCGTGTGCGTTTGAGATTTCCAGCGTGAAAATCGAACGGGAAATGATGGATGGAAAGGAAATCCAGGCTACACCCAGTCCCATTTCTGGGCAAACTGGAGTTGGCACGCGTGACTGTCTTTCTCTACTTTCTGTGTTAGATGATGGCAATGCTCTACACCTAATGATATTTGCATTCATTTGGCGGGCTACTTTTAGGTGTTGTGTTTCTTAACTCGAAATCACGGAAAATGCGAAAATGAGTGTTCTTTGATGGTGAGCTGTTTCATCAGAAAGCAGGAGTTATAATTTTCTCTTCGCTGTAGCTGTTGCTATATGCATACTCGAATCGAAAGTGAGTTAAATTTCAATGTTTTGCTTTTATCTCTCAGATGTTCTGTGACTTTAAATATAGTTTTTACTAGAGAAGGTCTAGTATAAGAGAGGAGCGGACTGGCTGGTCTTGTGCCAAACGGACTGGCAAAGCCAGAGACAATTGAGCAGCGCCTATCTTTATTACATTGGCAGTGTTGCTAGAAACCACCTAGGCATTCAGTTTGTTTTCATCCGCTCCTCTCTTACACTAGACCCTCTCTAGTTTTTACGAGTGAAACTTTGAGTCAAGTTATCATTTGCGTTAAATATAATTAATTTGTTTAATCTAGAGTTTAAGGAATTGAACCGAATACTTGCGGTCGTCTCGAGGTTAGTGATGATAGTGTTCTTCTTATTATGACTATTTCGTCCTAATTGGAGCTATATGCCTGCCCTCAATTTCATTGCTTTTAGAACTTCCATAGTTAATTGCGATGTTACTTTCACTATTCGGTTGTTGAAATCTGATAGACACTGTGAATCTGTGTGACGAAATTACACATGCTGAATTTTTACATTTAGTGCATGAGAGCAGCGTTCCTCAATATATGGGTCGCGATTTACACTGCTCAAATATTTTATTGAGTTCGTGCAAAGTTTATCTGAACAATTTTGTTGTATACACTAACAATCTATTGCGATTTTAGACGATGTTATGGCCATTTTGGTGTTTTATAGCCAGTTTGAAGAGTCTGACTTATTTTAGCCATTTTTTGCGGTTTTAGGACCATTTTGACGTTTCAAAATTATCATAAAAGTATTCAGCCCGTTTTGAAGGTTGTAAGGCCATTATGGCATTTTTAAATCTATTCAAGGTCATTTTAGTGTTTTAAAACCACTTTGGTAATATGATTAATTGTGTGCCCAGTTTTGGTGTTTTGGCATAACATCTCTGATCACACCTCCCTTCGGAAGGGAAGTAAAGCCAGGCTCTGTCATACGACACTGTCGCCGAAGACCGTCACGAATGTATGTATTTTAGTTTTTCTCATAATAAGACCTGTTGATGGTATGCTTGTGTGAATTCTGAAAATAGCAAGCAATGATGTCCTAGTAATAATATTCCTGATCAGAAATGGTTTGATTTACACCAAATTGAGGAATTACAACTAAATCACACATGTCATATGATAGCTATTTTGATAATTTTCTTTTAGCTCGAATGTTATTCTACCGCTCGTGTTATGTGAGAGAGACGACGGTAGAGCATGAGTGTTCGAATACAAACAGACTGTCGCGCACGACAACGAAGCGAGTGTAGTAAAAAACGTCAACTGTTTCAACCCCTGATCCTAACCTAACTTTCTTCCCTGCAAAAACCCGAAATTGTGGGTATCTTATCCTAGTAAATAAAGTAATTAGGATTAGCGAAAACATTTGGAATGGTTTCTCTTACATTTGGAATGGCTTCTCTTACTATTATTCGAGTTCAGAACTAGCTTTCTGATTTGAGATATAATCGCGCAAAATGGAATTCTAAATTGTGAACACGTTTGTTTTCTGTCCTTCGTTTCAACTCACTCTCTCTTTTTTGACACCTCTTCGATCGTGCAGCGTTCCCTGTTACACCTCTCCGTTGCCCAATCGAGGGGCTTTCTCAACATACCCGGCCCCGTGTTGCTGGGAACCACGATCATCTTCTTTGCTCTGAGCCTTCCTGACATCCAGTAATGCAAGCTTCGTTACGGGCCTCTTCTTAATGCCAGTACTGGTCTGGATCATCGCCGACCGCACATGACCATCCGATCCTGGGTAGATCTCGGTAATAACTCCACGCTCCCAATGATTCCGTGCTGATTCCTCAATGACAATGACCAAGTCATTGACTTCCAAGGGTTTGGTCGGTTCAAACCATTTCACTTGTCTCCTCAAAACTGGAAGATACTCTCTAACCCAGCGACGCCAGAACTCGTCGGCCAAGTGCTGAGTAAGTTTCCAGCTGTCCCTCAATGTTTGACAAGGTGCCACAAACTCCGTGCTCGGTTGAGTAACCCCTCTGTTTCCGTACAACAGGAAGTGGTTCGGGGTTAATGCTTCATCTGTGGCCACATCCAAGGGCACGTATGTGAGGGGTCGTGTGTTCACGATGCCTTCCGCTTCTAGTATGACTGTCTCCAAAGTTTCATCGTCGGGATGGCGTGGTGCTCCTGCTACAGCTGCCATTGCAACTTTCACGGAGCGAACCATTCGCTCCCACACTCCACCCATGTGAGGAGCTGCGGGAGGGTTAAACAACCACTTGGTTCTCGCATTTGTAAAAACGCTCGCACATCCTCCGTTGATTTCCCTCAGCTGTTCCATCAATTGTCGGTTGGCTCCGACAAAGCACGTTCCGTTGTCGGAATATATCTCGTCTGGGGCCCCTCTTCTGACCACAAATCTTCTGATAGCCTTGATGCATGAGGAGGTGTTCAGCGAATGGACCACTTCCAAGTGGACTGCACGTATTGTCAGACAAGTAAAAAGTGCAATCCACCGTTTGACCAAGCTGCGTCCTACCTTGACGAGTATAGGACCAAAGTAATCCAGTCCGGTGTAGGTGAACGGCCTGATGAACGGCGTCAGTCTCACTTTAGGCAGAGGTCCCATTACTGGAGGTTGAGCTGATGCTTTGTGGATCCGGCAGAACTGGCAGTCCTTGCTCACTCGTGGTACCACCGCCCTGAGCTTCGGAATCCAAAAGCGTTGGCGCACCTCGTTTACAACCGTTTCACGATTGCTGTGAAGATAACGTCGATGGTACCTGTCGATTAACAGAAGCGTTACGGGGTGATCCTTAGGGAGAAGAATGGGATACTTAGCTTCGTAGGGGATTTGAGGTGCAGCCCCTATACGACCTCTAATCCTCATCACTCCGTTCTCATCCAGAAATACCGCGAGATTGTATAGAGGACTGCACCTCGATAGCTTTTCTCGGTAGGTCTTTAAGTCGGAACCACATGGCTTTCTTCAGACATTCCAAGATTTTAACATTATTTGTCTTGATCGAGCAGGTTCGTATAGAATTGATCTGCCTGCCATCACAGGCATTGAAGTAGTCACATGTCAGGTTCGGGGTAAACGCCTCAGTATTGCCTCAGGAAAATCTTCCCCCGAAACTGCGATTTCTCGCGAAGGTCTCTCAGATGCCTGGTCAGATTTATCTGAGCCTCGGTTGATCTTAGGAGATTTTAACTCCCATGGTACAATCTGGGAGAATTGTACGATGGCAGCCGCTCAAGCCTGATATACGACCTTTGCGATAACTTCAATATGACAATTTAAACACGAAAATCATCGACTGTGGTGGTACTTGATTGCAAAAGTTGAGGGAACAACCATCGACCGATGGTGATCTGGTATACCATGAATTTCTTGCAACATGGTCGGATCAAAGTTTACAGAGGAACTGAAAATAAGCGCGATTGGGATTGAATGAAGAAGGACCAACCTCCAGCGCCATATACTCTTAGTACAGACTCATAAATCTTGTTTGAGGATTTCTGTCGAGCAGATTTTCAAAGTTTTCCATCACCAACGGGTTCATTACTTCACAACGGATGAGAAACCGGAAAGACAGTTCAATGAACCGATCTGTTAGGGGAAATACGCCCACGAGTATCTCGAAACTCATCGATACGAAGGCAACGATTACCGCTTAAGGATGCACGTTTTTGCAGCGAATTGGAAGCAAAAGCTGCCATACTCTAAAACCGACAGAATGGTTGTTCGGTACAGCCTGATCAGATCTTCCGGGTGGGCTCCTCACCAAGTTCCGGTAATTGAACGAAGAAAATTAATCCTTTGTTTGCATTTTTGTTTCAGATACGCATTATGTTTTCCCCACGTGCATTTGGAATCGAACCAGACACCTAATTACTTAAAAGACATACTTTGAATGATTGATTTACCCATAAGCTGAAGCTGTAACTGTGCAGGATGCTGCTTCCTAGAAAAAAAAAAACAACCAACTCAGTTTCCTCTAGAGGGAATTCGATACCCAGCTTCATAGACCAAGTAGACAAATTGTCCAAGGTATCTTGCAATGGTCCTTGCAGGCCCGGTGCAGTTGGCACTGTAACGGACACAACGTTGTTATCTGCAAGCTGCCTGAGCGAGCAATTTTCATCAACACAATCGTCAACATCTTTTACATAAAAATCATAAAGAAGAGGGCTAATAATGAGCCCTGGGGGAGGCCCATGTAACTAATTCGTGAAGTTTCCATGAGAAAAGCTCATATTTTTCTCAGACAACAAATTGCTCAAGAAGTTGTTCATAACTGGTGAAAGCCCACTTGTGTGGAGTTTGTCTGAAAGGACGTCGATACAAACAGAATCAAAAGTCCCCTTAATGTCCATGAAAACTGAACCCATTTGCTGTTTTCGAGTACAGGCCAGTTGAATTTCAATAGAAAGCAACGCAAGGCAGTCATTCGTTCCTTTAGACCTCCGAAATCCAAATTGCGTATCTGAAAGTAAACCATTCGTCTCTACCAACTTGCCCAGACAAAAAAGAATCATTTTCTCCAACAATTTCCATATGCAGGATAGTATCTCGATAGGACGGTAGGTTTCCAAATGGCAATAACTCTCACTTGCCTCCAATCATCCGGAACAACAAGCGTCTCTTCGCGACGTTTGGGAGTTTTTTAAGCAAGTTGAACTTGATTATATCCATTCCCGGAGCTGAATTGTTACATGAAAGGAGAGCAAGTGAGAGTTCTGTCATCGAAAAAAGGAATCTATGACGATCCTTCCTGATGAAGGATCACGAACATTGGTTTGAATTGGCACTGAATCAGGAAAAAAATTTCGCGCGAAGCTAAGGATCCATCTGTCCGAAAACTCCGCGCCAACGATCAGGGAAAATCGTCCCTATTGCATTAATAGCAATCGTTACACCTGGAGATCACCACAGCAGACGGAATCGCAAATCGACCACGTTCTGGTTGATGGACGGCACTTCTCTGACATTATCGACATCAGGACCTATCGTGGCGCTAACATCGACTCTGACCACTACCTGGTGATGGTCAAACTGCGCCCAAAACTTTCCGTCATCAAGAATGTACGGTACAAACGCCCGCCACGGTACAACCTAGAGCGACTGCAGCAATCGGATGTCACCTTAGCATACGCGCAGAATCTCGAGGCAGCGTTGCCAGAGGAGGGCGAGCTCGATGTGCCCCCTCTAGAAAACTGCTGGAGTACAGTAAAAGCAGCCATCACCGACGCAGCGGAGAGCACCATTAGGTACGTGGAAAGAAGTCGACGGAATGAATGGTTCGACGAGGAGTGCAGAGCGATTTTGGAGGAGAAGAACGCAGCGAGGGCGGTAATGCTGCAGCATGGAACCCGACAGAACGTGGAACGGTATAAACAGAAGCGGTAACAGCAGACCTGGGAAAAAAAAGCCGCCTGGAAGAAGCGGAGTGCTGTGCCGTTCCCAAGAAACACGGAAGTTCTACCAGAAGCTCAACGCATCCCGCAACGGCTTCGTGCCGCGAGCCGAAATGTGCAAGGATAAGGACGGAAGCCTCTTGACGGACGGACGTGAGGTGATTGAAAGGTGGAAGCAACACTTCGATGCGCACCTGAATGGCGAGGAGAACGTAGGCACGGGATATCAGCGCAATGGAGGAAACGACTACGTCAGTGCAGCAGAGGACGGAACTGACCCAACTACCACGCTGAGGGAAGTTAAGGATGCCATTCAACAGCTCAAAAACAACAAAGCAGTTGGTAAGGATGGTATCGCAGCCGAACTCATCCAGATGGGCCCAGAAAAGTTGGCCACCTGCCTGCACCGGATGATAGTCAGGATCTGGGGAACAGAACAGCTACCGGAGGAGTGGAAGGAGGGGGTAATCTGCCCCATTCACAAGAAACGCGACCATTTGGAATGTGAGAACTTCAGAGCGATCATCATTTTGAATGCAGCCTACAAAGTGCTATCCCAGATCATCCTCCGTCGTCTATTACCTAAAATGACCGAGTTCGTGGGAAGTTATCAAGCCGGCTTCATCGACGGCCGATGTTCAGATCAGATCTTCACCGTACGGTAAATCCTCCAGAAATGCCGTAAATACCAGGTCCCAACGCATCATTTGTTCATCGATTTTAAGGCGGCATACGACAGTATCGACCACACAGAGCTATGGAAAATCATGGACGAGAACGGCTTTCCTGGGAAACTGATCAGACTGATCAAAGCAACGATGGACGGTATGCAAAACTGCGTAAGGGTTTCGGGTGAACTATCCAGTTCATTCGAATCTCACCGGGGACTGCGACAAGGTGACGGACTCTCATGCCTACTCCTCAACATCGCTCTAGAAGGTGTAATGCGACGAGCCGGGGTACGATTTTCACGAAATCCGGTCAATTTGTGTGCTTTGCGGACGACATGGACATTATCGCAAGAACATTTGGAACGGTGACAGAACTATACACCCGCCCTAGGGGCATCCCACTCTAAACTTTTGCTCTAATACTCAATAAGTATTTTCAAATCTCTATTAAGTATTTTTAAGTATTTTTAAATACTTTTTCTCTTGATGTGATTTTGATCATAGTAAGTCTTGATTATAACTTCGGTTGCTAGTGCAATTATTTTTTATATCGATGTCAAATGTTATGATTTCGAAGCGTATTGTGCAAAATGTTTACCGAAGAGTTCGTCACCTGTACGGTAAGTAAAATATATATTCACTTTACATTGCTATGATACTATGTTGATTAGTAAATTGTTGATTTTGTATAATGTAATTGACCACTCATGTTCCTCATTTTATTTAATATGTTATTTGCAGGCACCGTTTTGGGATGCAGTTCAACGAGACTTTGGTCAGGTTCCTGCGAAGGTGCAGAAGGTGTTGGACATCCTGGCATATTCAGGTAGCCTGACCCTAGAGTTTTTGAAGCCTGAAGTTATACCCGAATTGGAAGAAGATATGAGGACAATGGCAGAGTCATTCAAAAAAAACAACCCAACGTCAACTATGAAGAACTATATGGGGACTTCAGTGACAGCCCCGAGAAGTTCAAGTTCCTCAGCGGAGAAAAATCATGCACAATGCGATTGTGCCAGTTGTTTGCAACAAACGGAGCAAAAAAATATGTCAAGATGGCTTATCAGGGCAAAGAAAGACAACCCGCGCCCACTCGCAGCGGCTTTTTGAGCGAACCCAGTGAAGGGATGAATACTGATACTAACGAACTGTTGAGCACGATCAAATTAAACTTTGAGTCCCTTCTCCCGTAAGTAGATACTCAATAGTGATAAAGATGATTCCCGCAATGCGGAGGAGGGAATCAATGCGGACCATATTGTTGGTTTATTCGATGATTACAATATGTTTTATTTTTAGAGTGGGGCACTTAGTTAATGGTATTTTTTTTGGAACTTTTCTATGGGGTGAATGAGGTTCCCATCATTCAATTATATTGTTTTCCTTTACAACAAATTTAATCCTTTTGTTTTTACAGGGAAATCGATGATAGACGATATCACACGTTTGTATCAAAAATGAATTTTTTGAAGGCGGAAGTGTTCAGCGACACAGGTGGAAAATTAGTAGGAGAAGTATTGTGTCCAATTTGTGCCTCAGATCAAAACACGAAGCGACTTAAGGTAACGAAAGAAGTAGGAGGATGTTGGATGACGGGGAACTTCATTAAGCATTGTGAAAATCAGCATTATCGGATTCCAAGAGAGCTGAGAAAAAGGAAAAGGCGACTACCGACCGCTGACAGACAAACTAAAAGCATCGGTTTAGACGAAGCTACTATAACCGATAATTTCATCGTCGAAGAAGACCTCGTCGTTGAGGAAGAATACCTGGCGTTATCAGATGATATTCCAAATAT